AACTCCTCAAGCACGGTTGTTTGATCACCTTCAGGTCGATCCTCGAGCCCCAGGACATCTAAACTACAAAGTTCCATGTAGTCTTCGTGTGTGCTTCTCGTTAACATTAAATATGAGTGATTCATTTCCCGTCCTTGCGACATGATTGTCCACCCGAGTCTCGTTCTCTCTGCCACTGGTTTTCCATCATCTCCAACTTTAGCAGGTGTGGTTGTTTTGACTCGTGAATAATCACTAGCACCCAGTATCATGTGAACTGGCAACATTGGCTTCGTGTCAACATCGTCCATCTCTATGCCTTCAAGGTGTGAATTACTGGCAATACCTTCTCTATAACGTGGATTTTGCAAGGTCAGTAGCACTGGTCGATCAACACAATTCACTTCAGACGACATGCTAAAGTTTTTATTAATGGTTGTGATTTCAACATTGTAAACATCAATCGTCTTCGTAGTTGTATGCAACATCATCTCTATGGTTTTGATCTCTTGTCTAATTGGCTTCTTTTTTGTTAAGTTCATCAACGTAGAAGATACATAAGAATTTCCTGAACCAGTGTCCAGTAACGCTCGACATTTTACTCCTTCTACTTCAACAACTACTACAGGATATATCACGTTGGATTGGTTCGCTTGGCACATTGTAGGGCTTTGTTCAGCTTTGTCACAAATGGATGTATGATGTTTACGTTGGCACTTGTAACATTGGGTATTACTTTTGCACTCTCTTGCTCTATGTTTTTATCCCGTACAGTTAAAACACCGTCTCTTTATGCTTAGTATTCTTTTTCGCTGTCCGACATCGACAACTTTGGTACATTCCACTGATCTATGGTCGTCATTTTCACAATATACACATTGACGTTGCTTTGCGTGATCTCTTGTTGCAAATTGATTGTCTCTTTGCTTAAAATTTGCATGTTGGCCGCCATCTTTATGTCCAGGTTGTAGGGGATTGCGCTCGACCCATTGACGTAAAGCTTCGACAAGTTCCGTAAAGGTCCATTTCTTCCAGTCCTTTTCAGTTCTAATTAGATCAGCTCGGATACCCACTAATTTGTCCAAGGTCATTCGCACATTACCGGCAATTTGTTCCAATTTCCCCAGTGTTTCCAACGCTTGAACATGTCCCAAAAGGTTATCGTAAAAATTGTGTATCTTGGGTCTTGAAATTCCAGTAATAATTGGCAATGACATTATTTCCTGAATATGGGCATTCACCACTTCACTAGAGTCACCATATCTTTGTTCTAAGAATTCTTTGGCTTTCTTATACCCTACACCGTCAGCTGGTAATTTCTCAATTGTTGCACGTACCTTGGGTATGACAAGTTCCTTCAAATACGAAAATTTAGCTTCATCTGGAATGGATGTTTGATCAATTTGAGTTGAAAAAAGATTCCAAAATCTTACCCAGTCAAGATATGTTCCTTGGAACTTGGATATTTGCAAATCTGGTAATTTCGGTTTCACGCGTTTCTTTTCTGCTATTTCCAATTTCGTTTCCTCAAGTTGTAAAGCGAATTTCTCCTCACGAATTCTTTTATTGTTCTCAGCTTCCTGTTCTTCTTGCCTCATCCAGTCTCGAATAATAGATTCCTCGTTTAGCTTGTCGTTACGAGCCTTTTCCTTGCGTATACTTTCGTCATGTTTTAGCCTTTCGTCGAGCTTTTCGACCGCATTTTCATAGGGTTGCACTTGTAATTTCCTTTCCTGAGTCCATTGATCGATTGCTTCGTCGCTCTCGTCGGAATCTAACTTTAAACCTTGTATAGTTTGTATTAAATCGTACGCTTCGTCCAGTTTGGTTTTAAGCAAAGTATATTGTCTGTTTATTTTGTCACTTCCGTACTCACTTTCTAGAACATCAGCCGTAGATCGGTTAAAATAAGCGAGCTTTCTCAACAACGATTTGAAATTGGCTTCTGTTGACTCGATGTCGTTTTGTGCGATGGTTTGTTCTCCTTGTGCTTCGACGTCATTTCGCGATTGCCGTGTTAACATCTCGATCTCTGTATTTGTTTACATATACCACGTAATTTTGCTCTAACTCGATTGTTGTGTAAAATATCCCGTTTTACATTTGTCACAATATCCCGTTAATTGAGTTAATCCCGTCTGGAGGTGCCCTTTGTGGTAGATTTTCGTTCGATCCCCACAATAAGAGCAAAATTACGCGTTTATCTTGTGTTTTGTATTATAATCCCTTCCCAAATCGCTCCCAGTTACATATATTCCCATGCAATAACAATTCACAACATTCCTTTTATCTCATGCCTGTCACTCAATTCCATATATGGCCGTCACCTCATCTCTAAATTTAACTACTAATTATTAATGTCAACCTTTTTCCCGACAATAATAACATTGAGGATGAAAAGGACGTTTTCTTGGAAAAAGATCTCGAGTTGCATCCTGGCAGTCGTTTGCTTTGCGGTGCTATCAATTCCAGTGTGCGTTTATTTTGGGCTAAGAATACATTCGATTTATTCCTCGAAAGAGCTAACGATATGCAATTTTCAGGCAAAATTTGCAAGGCTTTGGAGTACAACTATATTCTCAATGACTTCAACGTTTAACTGCTTAATATTTTTCTGGAAAAACAAGCTTTTACGGAACGAGGGAATGAAAATTATTAAAGGCTTTAAAGTAAGTCGACGAGAACAATCCTAGTCTGCATCACAGTAAAACTTTCAGCTTTCTAGTTAAGTTTTATGTAGCCATCTCGACTTTACAATTTTGTTCATTCCTAATTCCTAAATGTGGGTTCTGATGGTTTATGTTATAATATCCATGTGAGGTCTGTGAATTTGGCACTACACGTATATGTGACTGATGTACCCGTCTTTAAACTTATACACCACTGGATATGTGCATCACATGTGTCTTGGCTGCTTGAACAAAAGAACAAATTCAAGAACAAAATAAAAAATGTACAAAAAATATATTTCCCTTTAATGATGAAGAAGGAAAGAAGTAAATTCATGTAATGGTGTGAAAACAGTCAGACACGTATATACTGCCTGACTTAGAAACTGAACGCTTATATATTATACAGGTTGCAGCTGTTAGTTAAAATAAACTATCACACACCCAGTACAGGCGTTTATCCTATAGTAATATTGCGCTCTTTATTGGATCTCCAAGAAGAACAGTTTAAAACTGATGTCTAATTTGGTTATGACGAGTATTGTTCAAGGATTCAACTTACTGAGAAGCGCATGCAGGATAAACTTCGACGTATCGAGCGAACGTTTGGGAACGTCGAAGTTTTAATTAATTTAGCTTGGCTTGTTCAGGGGCGCACATTAGCGGGCACCCCATGTTTTGTGAAATATATCTAAAAAGTCGGTCCCGAAAGACATCATTTTGTATCGAAAAAAGAAATAGGTGAACATTTTGGAAATGGAATCTAACAAAACTAGGCGCCTTTTTGTGGTTGTACATGTAACTTTTCTTCCAACCTCGTCCAAAAATACGTGAAATAGCGTTCTAATGAATCTAGAAATTCAAAATTTTTCTCGCGCCTTCGGCGCTCGCACTCGAAATCCATAAAAAATTTTGGCCCCCCGAAAGTTTAGAGCAGAAGTTCTGAAAAACTAAACGTTTATTTAAACTCTTGGAATACTATCCCCGTCTATGAGTCCATCCGCAATTTTGGAGGAGTCTACGTTCTAATAAATCGAAGCGAGGTTACCGAGGTATGTGGCAGTGTATAGCATTTATACACATTTAGATAGCCGATTACATCCGCATCGAGTGCATGAACACGCAGCTTTTCGAGTTCGAAGCTTAAATTGATTAACACTGCCATTCATTCAGTCATGAAAGAAAGAAGGCTAAGGGATCTAATCACTCTTGGATGTGAAAATGATCTCACGGATACAATATAATGGACCCAGACACTGTTGTTGATCGTTGGGCCAAGCTGCCAAAACAGAACGCATTATTTGTGTGAAGTAATTCCGATTGTCATTTTTCGATCAAGTAAACTGTGCAGGTGGACTATTTAATTAAAAACTGATTTGACTGTCTGAAATCTGTTGCTAATTGCTATTACTTTCTAAACAATTTGAGTTGTCAGGTATTTAATACTCTTAGTTGAATATCATGTGGACACGCACTATAGATTTATTTTGAGCCATTATTGTCTATAGTTGAGCTCTTGACTTTAATAATGTACTATTCTTTAATAATACTGTGGGCTTGTGTCACTTGTGGCTAATATACTGGCTATAAATTCAAATTAGAACAACAGGTTAATTTCTAACGGTCTACTTTTTGACACTCCTGTATACTATTATTTTTTTACATAGTTACTCGACTTCGTGCAATAACCACAGGGGCGTCGCATGTCATGCAGCCTTTATCATTTAATCCGTGACAAACTGCAAAGAATGAAGGTATTACCATGGATAATAAAGTACATGTTATTTTACAATCCATGGTATTACCCACACTTTCCTGCAACTTAGCAACATATAATAGTTAATTAAATACGCCTTCGGCCATTTAGTACTACTAAATTGTGAATTTCGACATACTAAAACGCTGTTTTCTGACTATCAGAATTCTGTTAAATCTTCCCCAAAGTCCAGGAAATGGCATTGCAGAGACTCTCGCTTTCAGCCCCCCCCCCCCTCCCCCCAATCGAAGAGTTTCCTACGGCCCTGTACCATACTGTACGTTCAGCTCTTAAATTTTATATTAATTGTATTTATAACAAGACCACAATATTAATTAAACCGAACTTTCACCGGTTCACGAGTACTGTGCACACCTTAAAATAGTTGGCTTTTCTTATCAAACACAAATACTACAAAAGTCTGTCCCGAAACATAGAACACCCCCCCCAAATTTTTTTTGAATGTGCGCCCCTGGGCTTGTTAGGTTTCCTACTGTCTAGAAACTACACTGAAGCAATCAATGATGGTGCTCACTGAACCTTGAGGGAGAAAAGTTTGTGAGTACGAAAACGGTCCAATATAAAGTTAAATTATAAGTTTCCTCTTCTAGTGAACATGCAGTTAGCTAGAGCTTTACGTGAAGTAGACGTCTAGAACTAATAAGAGCTATTTAGTATGAATAAAGTTAGAGTTTATAGACGTTTCATATTGCAAGCGCTAAGCCCTTCGGCCATCTGTCGCATAATTGATGCAACCCTAACGATAACTCTAATTTGGCAAATGAAACGTGCTTGTATAGCGCTTGATGTTGAAACAATACTTGGAAAATAAGGCCGAGGAGTTGTTGTATGCATGTATTTCTAGTACCAAATCTATTTATTGGGCGTTTTAAGATATAAGAAAACAGGCATGAGACATTAATATTTCCACTATTCTCAATTTAGCTTTTCAGGAACAAACTACGTGAAGATTATGCTAATCGTTCTTAAGCCGGACTTTTTAGAGTTTCTATATTTAGCTTTGCACGTTCGCCTGTCCAGGAATTTGTTATTTCTATATGTTCGTCAAAAAGTTTTGTTTAATTCGTTTGGAACACCCAGTGTGTGCTGTCAATAACACACATAATCTACAGTTTCCATTCGCCACCTTGGCATAATCTTTTGTGATAATCTCAATTTTCAAAAGTGATGCATTAGTACAAACTTTAGGAATTAATTAACGTATTCATGAACATCGAAACCATATCACCTACTCATATACAGATCACGACTTACAGGCACCTTGTTTAACAAGGAAACGTTTATAATGATACTTTTATGAAAAGTAGCTGATGATAACGTATACTAAACAGACGTGTTGTTTTATCTCTTGTCGTTGAAAATGAAGAAATCTGATTGGCTTCAAAACCGGCCTGTTTTTGTCATCCGCCCCGCTCTGAAGGGAACCGGACCGTTCTGGTTTTCACGCCAAAACAATAAATTATTTAATTTAAAAATTCTGCCCAAAAGCTTAGTTAACGATAGCCAGAATACAAAAACGAATTGCATCAAGGTCAAAAGACTTGATACTAAGCAGGATGTGCGCCAGAACTTTATTCTCAGGCTATTGCCTGTGGGCATTTATAGACCGTTACTTGGAAATGGACTTTCTGAATCAGAAAATGTAGTGAGCACTCAGAAAGTAAGGGCACACCAATCCAAATCGCCATTTATCACTTGTTTTGCATTGAGTTGCATTGAGAAATTGATTTACCTTCACGTCTGCATGTTTTCTGCTTGTCATTTTAATATAGTAAAATAATCCCTTACGAAAAAAGTCTATAGGCGTCTATAGGCAGTCTATAGACTGCCTATAGAGATCTATAGGCAGATTGCCTATAGAAATGTGTGCCTATAGGTACCTATAGACTGCCTATAGAGATCTATAGGCAGACTGCCTATAGGAATTGATTTGCCTATAGAGATCTATAGACAGGCTTCTTATAAGAATATGTGCATAATAAATTCCTATAGAGATCTATATAGGCAGACTGGCTACATCTTATGTCTATAGATTTTGTGTAGGCAGACTTCCAATAGAATATAGCACATAATTAGGAAAAGTGTTTGGTTGGCTATCAATAGACCTAATATGTTACATGTATGCACGAATAAACCTCATGTATACGTAGGTTCCTCTTAAAGATTAATTACTAAGCAGAATTCATTTAGGTTTGTCTGTCAATATAAAACTTTTCGGTGGTAGACCTTTACTATGATAAATGAAACAATATCCATTTGTATTGATTTATTTCACCATGCACTTCACATGCCAAAGAACTTGAAATGTTAAGTTTTTATATCGCTCTTGACAAACAGTGTTTTCCATTTTTTTACCAATGAAACTATGAATATTGGAGTACCGAAAATAAACATGCAGTACTGAATGAAATTTAGAAGGAACTTAGAAAGAACACCAACATATTTTTGCATGATAACAAAAAACAAACACACCTAAACCAGGTATTTTGTGTGTGATTTAAACAGGGATGGATCCAGCATGATCTGATAGGGGGTACTCTGCCAGCTCTAGTGCCGAGTTGTATTGGCCATGTGCGCCACCCGCCCATCAACATAGTTGCTAGTCTTGCTTGACTACTGTATTTGAATTGTAATTGTTGTTCACAGTTTGCTTATCATCATGTTATTACTCAAATTACTGTATCTCATTTTGTTTCTAATATTTTTTGCTTTATCATGAAAAATAGCACACACCCCTGCACCCCCTCTGGCAGGGCTAGGAGGTGGTGTGCCCCAGTAAATCCATCCCTGGATTTAAATGGCATGCAAGATGGGAATATCCAGCCCCTACACTCTGCCGAATCAATTGCTATGAGACATTGGCCAGAATAATATAATAAAGTGTGTCCCTGTCTTTGAATGGTTTAATGCCAAGCTGAGCAATTAAAGCTTCCAGCTGATAGTAATGTATTTCCCATTTCTCAAATATACATAGTACTTTTCTTAATTTTTGCCCAATTTTAACAAATAAATGTAGTGCTCAGAATGCAGGAAATGGCATTTTAGGGCTTCAAATTTCAAAAATTTTCTGGGGGAGAATGCCCTCAAACCCCTGTAGCAACGCACCCCCGCTGAAAAACCTCCACCCCCTCTAACAAATCAGGCCAGATCTGCCCCTGTTTTACAGGTAATAGAAGAACATATCTAAGCAAGTTCTTGTTGTCAAGAACACATCTTAGATGCTAATGCTTATTAAATTAATGTATATTAGGTGACCTTCAGTTATTAAGAGAACTGGCAAACAATTTGTCAAAATGCCCGGAAGCTTCAGATCAAAGCTTGCTCTCACCTAACTTGAATGACAAAAGATCCCGGAAAAAGAGTACAAAATATCATGATGATGAACCTGATAATGAAATACCTAAAAAAGTGGTAAGATATTTTTGATTATTTATTATCCTGAAATTATTTATATGTGGAAACTTTAAATGTGTGCATTCTAGCCTCTTTCCGTTTTGCGTTCATCGCATCACACCCTTCCCCTAAAAGTTAAATCAAATAAAAGTAAACATTGCCTCATTAAGTCTGTTTGGGTAAGAATGAGTTGTCAATTTCAGTATGATTTCACAAAAACTGTATGATTCAGAAAGATAATTCAGATATATATATATGCAATGAAATTGGCTCACAATATACAATACAATAAAAGTATATACCCTAATCTAAAATTTAGCCACTGATGACTTTACTTTCACAGCAATCTGACCAAGAATGATTGTATAGAATTTTAAAGCAAAACAGGTTATTTTAATGTTGGTAATATATTGGGACATTTTTATTTTACATGAAGTCAGCAGTCAAAAGAAGAAAACTTACTTCAACTACTAATAGTCAAGAAATGAAACTATCCAAAAAGATTGAAGCTGAACTGAAATCTAAATTGAATGCTACAAATGTAAGTATCATTAAATTAACATACAGTATGAATTCTATTTAACATTTGTATAGAATTTCCTATAGTTTAAATGAAATATTGTTTAAGGACATATTTGTCAGGAATTTTAGCCAGACAGCAGCTACTTTAAAAATCATACTTTCTACATTACCCCTGTAGTTTGCAAAATATATAAATATATTTCATGAATTCAGCCATCTATTTCTTCGGTTGGGCCTGATACTTTAAAAATTTATGTTTGTGATGTTACTCTGAGCGTATCCACACCAGGCAAGCTGAAAAATCAACTGGACTGCGGCGGGAGTCGAACCCACAACCTTTGGTTTGCTAGTCCAATGCTCTACCAACTGAGCTACGAGGTCGAGTCGGTTCGAGTGTATAACACCATATTACATAAAAATTCACTTTAAAAATTATTAAACTTTTAAGGTGCTCATAGTATATTAGTAAATACTATTGATGAAGACTCAGTCCATTATTTTTATTAAAGGAAATGGAAAGGACAATTGAGGAAAAGTATTTTAGTGATGATGACGAAGATTATCAGTATGAAGACAGACATGAGGTGTGTTAGAAGTGTCAACATTTGGATCAATTCCATTTATCATTTTATTTCTTATTATTTGATCACAAAACAGTAAGTAGTTTCATGCCGTACTGTAGTTCCCGGGACACCAGCAGTTCTTCCAAGAGGTTCACCAGCAGCAGGACAATGAGGACCAGTGTTGCCAGTCCTTGGTCGGAACCTTGGTGGTGGTGACCTTATTTTATGTTATGGGCTATTACATAATTTGTAGTGCAGTTGTTATACTCAGTTAAAATTTTCATTTTGTTGTGTATTTTAGGAAACAGCACTTAGAAAAAAAGTTTGTGCTCTTGAAAAGAAAAATAAAATGCTGCAGGAACAAAACCAACACCTAAACAAGATGCTTCAGAACCAAAAGAGTATGTTTTCTTTTTGTTTCCAGTTAGTGCAAGCTTTTTCACCATAATTGTTGACACAACATCAGTGGTTATTAAGTTGTGGTTCCTGGTTATTCACATTTTTTTTATCATTGCCATTAAAGGTATACAGGATGTTTTAAATGCTGTTAAGGCTATTGAAGAAAAATTAATGCAGGATAACAGCACTTCTCTGCATGTGCCAGCAACACCTTTCACAGTATTGAAGACACCAGTACAGGATCGAATGTCGCCATCATCTTCGCGGTCTGCAACAGCAACATTCTCGCCATCACCACTGACTTCGCGGTCACCATTGCTGTCACAGTCACCATCATCATCGCGGTCACCATCGCTGTCGCAGTCGCCATCATTGTCGCAGTCGCCATCATTGTCCCGGTCAGCATTGATGTCTCGGTCACCATTGGCTCCAGTTGATGTCAACCAGTCTCAGTGTAAAATGGTAAGAAATGTCTCTTTTGCCCTCTTTTTGACTATAATTTGTAAGAAATGTCTCTGTTGCCCTCTTTTTTACTATAATTTGTAAATATGGACCACTCACAATTATAAAAAAGTTTAATATGAGAATAAAACGTACAATTTTTAAGGGTCTTTGCCACTGACAATGTATGGTCCAACTTACTATCATTAATTATTCACTATTGTTTCTGTGGCTCCCTGCTCCTGTTGAATTACAGTCTCCTCCAGATGGGACTGAATATTAATATCTATTGGATATAAATTTATGGTGATTCAGAATGAAATATGCCAGGATATTGCAAAATTTCTGCTTGAAAAAGATCAACTGAAAAAGACAAAGATTGAGGACTACAGTACTTACTGTGTGAAAAAGAAGCCTATGCTGTCTGTGATTAGTTTGCATTATACAAATACTGTACAGTACTTGTTTTCCTTTTTTGTAGGTAACTCTTTGGGAAGAGACAGAAATAAAGGAGGCCCAGTGGAAGCAACTCAATGGAAAGAAAGGGAATCTACGAGAGTTTACAAATCTCCTATTGAGATTGTTGTATTCATCAGAGAGCCTTGCATCCAGCTCCTTAACTGGAAAAATCAGCAATGCCTTTAAAACAAGCAAGGCAGCAAAACCAAAACTAAAGGATGTAGACAATGTCATTTGTAAGTAACTAAGTATTTACTGTATAATCGAAAAGAAGTTAATAACTTTTCTTACTGACAGATTTTCACTTTTTTGTAACTATATATATTTTTCTGTTGCCTTCACAGCATTCATAATAAAGGAGACTGATGCTGATGAAAAGAAGGTGAAAGCAGCAGTCACTCAACTGCTCAATACAGAGTCAAAAAGAACAAATAACCAGTAGGATATTGTTAAGCCTGGTTTTCATGTAGTCATTTGACTGTTGCTAGTAGGCAATGGGATATGATTTATTCTATAGCAACACCTGCAGTGACCATATGGAAACCAAGTTTAATAATTTATTGACTATTTTTTCAGTATACCTGTAGGAAAACTTTTTTAGTTTATATTCATCAGAAACTGGTGACCGAAACACATTAGTATATATTTATTAGTATCTATGTATGTATATTTATATATAATGCAATTTAGAAGCTTAAAGTCCAGTATATATTTGAACATTTTACATAACATTTTCTAGTGTTTATCAAAACCTTGATTTAGCTGCCTTTAGTTGCTTGATTTTGGGCACTACTTAGTTGAAATGCATTTTTCAAATTTGTTTAAAGTGCCTACGAAACGAAAATTTTTATTGTCTTATTTAAAAGAACTATAAAAACCATAGAGTGACTTCTTCATTCTGTTGCTTTGTTTTCGAGATATTTCATTTAGTTTGATATATACGTGCCATGTTTTCTACGTCACAAAATGCATAATGAGTTTGCTGAAAATGTTATATATTCTTGTTATTATAAATGAAATTACTAGAGAATCCTGGTATTTGATGTTGTACAACAACACAAATGCATACTATACTTCTAAAAAGTGATTTTGTTTCATAATGTCAAGGATATACAACTTAATCTGATAACTCATTATGCATATTTGTGACGTAGAAAACATGACACGTATATCAAACTAACTGAAATATCTCGAAAACGAAGCAACGGAACGAAAAACTGCAAAAGAAGTTACTCTATAGTTTTTATAGTTCTTTTAAAGACAATAAAAATTTTCGTTTCATAGGCACTTTAAGTATATATTGGGCTTGCTGTCTATAATTATTGTATACTTATTGTAAAATTGTAAAAGGAGAAAATCGACGTTGTGTACATTGTTCTATATTTTAACGATATTCATGTATGTATAAATCCACATAATTATCAATATGAACTAATTTATTTTCCTTGTGCCTATTTCAGTATTTGTGTGGGTGATCTATTAGCTATATTAATGCTAAGGTTTTAAATATTCCTATAGGTTGCTATAGTATTCATATAAAACGCCTGTAGCATTAGCCTGCGCGCAGACTATATAATGACATACATATACATATACATGTCATTATATAGTCTGCGCGCAGGCTACTGTAGCATTCCTATAATATCAAAATTCTATATATTCCAGAATTTAATATTATTTTCTATAGGAAATCCTTTTCAATTCCTATACTCTGGTTTCTATAGAATTTCTATAGGTTTTTGATAGGATACCTATAGGTTTCTATAGATGTAATATAGGTTTCCTATAGGGTCCCTATAGGTTGCTATAGAAATCCTATAGGGTCCCTACAGGTTGCTATAGAAATCCTATAGGCTGACCTATAGCATTCTCTATAGGTTGCCTATAGAAAATGTTCCAATTTCCTATAAAAACCTATAGACAAACCTATAGGTACCTATAGGCAAACCTATAGGTTTCCTATAGATTTTCTATAGGCTTGTCTATAGGAAAGTCTATAGGCTGCCTATAGACTTTTTTTGTAAGGGATCCGACGTTGGATCGACGGTTAAATGTAAAATAAATATATTAGCTACACTAGCTTTATAATCACTCAAATGGCCAAGTTACTGTAGCTTATATTGTATACAGTGTAGATGCGACGAATGCAATTTTGGCGCTGGTGTGTATGATATCGATGAAAATTAAAGTCACTAATTCGCCATTAAAGAAGACTAGCATCAAATAGCTTTATCACTCGCATTAAAAATAAAATACTACAGAAGAAGATCTGCAAATTCTATGTTTATTTTGAAAATTTTGTGTTAATTTTGTGAAATCCACTCGTTAATACATCCCTATTTAACTAGAATCTAATGTCCTTATATGCCCCATTATAATATTTGTAAGTGCGAGTATAAATCTAATATTTGTTTAATTTTTTAATCAGGCTATTTGTGTAACCCCTCAAGTTTGATATCCATAAGCAGCAAGTTCTTTTCCAAACTACAATCTAGTACTAATAACTATACACGTGAATATGGCTCACTGATTTCAAAAGCGAATGGCGGCTATATTATTGTAACCACCGCAATCATGTTGCTGACATGTTAGGAGAGGTTCTTAATTTTTTTTTGAGATTGGTTGGAATAAAAAGATATTGCCTTGAAAGGAAAAGGTTATAATGATGTCACATCAATATGGCCACCTTAAGTCTCAATTGTCTCATGTTCAAAATTTTCTAAAACTCATTAGAAGATGTCTGGGAAGCTATATCTTTCAAGTTAGGTACAAGAACAAATTTTCTTCATAGCATAACTAATTTAATCAGTAAGGAACGTGATAGATTTGAAAATCTCTCCTCATTATAGATATTATGGCTTCAAAATTAATTCCGTAAATTAGAAAGGTTGCTCTATTCATTCCTACTTTTGAGATCAGCGGGCAGGCTAATATTGTGAACGTGAAAGTCTAATATCCAAAGACAGCAAGTTTCTTCTGCACCCATGGGGTAAACAATGCTGTGTTGGTGTATACTCCATAATGATCTGGTTGTGCGCAACCTATGCCCCAAGACACCAATCCACCAAGGATAAATCTGGAGTTGCTGCGATCAAAACACGTGAGCGGACCACCACTATCTCCTTGACATGCGTCCGTACCTCCTTTCTTATATCCGGCACAAAACATGTTACTCGTAACGTTTCTGGGATTCAGCAAGCTTGCGTACGTCTACAAAATGACATAAAATGTTAGAAAAATTGGAGATAACGGTATCATATTTTGGCAAACCCTACAGTCATGATGTTAGCTTCAGTGATAGGCGATATCACTTTTTTAGTCGATGGATTACCAGTTCGATATTTGCATTTTTTTCCCATTTCGATATCAATACCGATATTTCTGCAATTTAAGCATATAACAATAAGCGATAGAACAGAATGCACTTTTCCTGTAACTGACAAAATATCATTTAGTCAAATGTGGCAAATCTCTAATCATCGGTAATATAAGTAACTAAACTTTCACTACGCTTCGTACTTGTCTGCAGTGTGTGCTTGACCAAAACGCAATGTCGATACTACTTGTTCTGGACCTAGGTATCGTATATTTCCAATACCCCTACAAACGAAATTTTGTTATTATATGCACTATACCTACACTGGCACACACCAAGATTATATCGAATATTTGGTATCGATATCCGCCCAAACGCATGTTCGACCGTAATCTTCATTCACGCATTCTTTTCTAATGAAAGTGAAGTAAAACTGTAACTATTCCAACAGTTTCACTTCACGGATAAAAATGATGGCCTCCAGTTGGTAAACAAAGTCAGAGACACAAGTGAAGCAAAATAAAACTGGATTCCAAACATTAGCAACGGTTTTTAAATCACGACCGCGTCGTAGATTTGTTGTATCTTATAAGCTCACTAACACTCAATAATTAATTAATATTTAATAACACTCCTGCGCGTGTTTTACTACTTCAAAAACATGGAGAAAAAACGGAAGACCATCGTATTTTCAAGCTAGTAACATTTTCCAATCAACATTTTAGGACCTTTTAGTATAAGCCAAATATGCAGTGGTAAGGATTAGAACATTACCTTCACACACGTATTGAAATTTACTATCTTCACATTAGCCTCTAAGAGTCTCGCAGATTTCACGCCATTTTGTGTAACACGTCCAAAGCCTGTGACCGTGCATAAATCATTTTCTGTTAACACTGTCCCGCTTCCCGGCATGCAGAGTGGACGCACATTGTCGTTATACACGGCGTATTTATCCAATCTTATTATGGCAATGTCCTTGTCATATGGCGCATCAACTCCATAGTCCTCATGAACAATTATTTTTGTGCATCTAAATCTTTGCTCGTGTCCAGATTTCGTAGATTGGTCTACTTCCCCGATCACGATATACAACTCATTTGGGAACGACTGCGATACACAGTGGGCAGCGGTAACTACCCACTCGTCATTTATCAGCGCACCACCACACGTTATATTACAATGGGCGCATTTTTTAATACCGACTTGCCACGGCCAACTCCCAGCTGCTGCTCTTGTGCCATTTACTACCCCACCGATTCTGTCTTTGGTTCCACACCGTATCTTTTTATTCCCCTGCGGTGGGGGTGGTTTGGTTGTTGTGACAACGGGGGGTGTGTTTGCGGGAAATGGTGGAACGGGGGGTGTTTTTGCAGGGTTTGGTGGGGGTATCAGTGCACCTGTTGGTGGAAGAGGTGGCGTTCCTATGTCATCCGTGCGTGGAACTGGCGGCTGAATTGTAGATGGGATAGTTGTGGTTGCAGGTGTATTAGCGGTAGTAACTATGGTTGTCGAGGTTTGGGTTGAAATAATTTGTGTAGTCATAGCATCTGTCGTCGTTGTTGCCTTCCCTAGAAATATTTATAACTTTTGTTATATTTAATACTGAATTAACGACTTATTTACATAATATTACGTATGATACATCTTCGTTAAAATTTATAAAAGCTAAAAAAATTTAAAAGTAAAAGTTTATTCTGTTCTTTTAGTTTTACAAAACTTCTTGTAAACCACATATAAATCATAAGTATTCTCTATGGTTATAATCAGTCCGCGTATTTTCAGTTCTCAAATGTTGTATTTCGGCTGATGAGAAAGATCGTGACTCAATCTTTATGACCGTTATACGGCCACATGAAAACCAGGATTTAGTCATCTTTGTTTGATTCTATGCTTCTGCAAACTAGGAGTTCCTAAAGTTCTCAATGGACCTATTCCTTAATGAACAAAATTTTGATCTAGACAAAAGTAGACAAGTTTAGCTTGAAAGAGCATCACAAAATTAGTAATATTCCGAAGTTTCGTTGCAAAATGTTCTAAAATGCGGACAATATAGCCCTGCGAAGTTTGCCGTTTTTCAGTCATTTTGTATTACGCGCGGGAAATTGATACCGCTTTCTGAAAAAAGGTATCAATTTCCCGCGCGTAATACAAAATGACTGAAAAACGGCAAACTTCGCAGGGGTATATTATCCGCATTTTACAACATTACCAAACGAAACTTCGGAATATTGCTAATTTTGTGACGCTCTTTCAAGCTGTGATGAAATTTTTGTCTAGACTTGTCTAGATCAAAATTTTGTTCATTAGGAAATAGGTCCTTTGTGCATTGCGCATACACTGTACATAAACGTTTATATATTTCGTGGGCCGTCTCATCCGTTTTGTCAACGACTGCAGTTAGACTGCTTCCTATACATTAACCATGGCAATAAAATTATAGAAATCCAACCGTATTTCATACAAAACATACCATTGTCACAAATAGATAATCCTGTTCGAAAATGAGACCAAGTACAACTAGCGTAAGGACAGTACCACCCTGTCAAGACATTGTAACCCATATGAACATAATACGTATTGCCTCGTCTTGATATTGTAGATAAAACCGTCCCCAAGTATTGTGTATTGAACCTTAGCTTCAATTTATTTCCGACACATAACCATTGCTGGTTTCGATTTGACGCCGTGCATGGCTGAAAATGAATCGACTTTATTGACCCGTCATAAGTCAGGCAATTTCGGTTGTGATTTAACTTCAGTTGACCGTCACTTGTCCATTGCCATAACTGTCTTGCCGAGTTCTGATCACAGGTATCGAGTGTGAATGTCAATCTTCTGAAACCGTAGGACAACTGTGACTTAGGCCTATCTCGCAAGGCTAGACACTTGTTATAAGCTGTATTTTTAATTTGAAACCATTGATTTTGAGCTGTGACTGCTGTAAAAGAGAAATTAGCTATGCGGGTTAAATAATTTTGACTAGGGTTAGTAACTGAAATTAAGTTTTTCTAGAATCTAAATTCCCGTTTACATTAGCGATTTTGGCTGCGATTTCTGGTGCAATTTTCAACTTTTGATGCTTGTAAACGATTGATTAGATGAGTTATGACATTCATAACTTATCCACCGAGGTTACATGCATAAGAAGAAGATAATCACGCCTAAAGTTGCAGCAAAAATTGCAAGTGTCAACGGCCTTAAACACTCTCACTCACATTCACACTCAATGAGTGGAGGTTCAATCTGAGCTTCTCTTGAGTATCAATGCCGTTTTTGAATAGCCGGAGTGTGACTAGTGACATAGTCAGGTATGAAACTAGCCCTACAGCTTTTCAAAAACAGCAATGACACTCGAGAGAAGCTCAGATTAAACTTCCACTCATTGAGTGTGACTTTGAATGAGCCTTTAGTATACGGGCGTAATACTTGTATACTGGTAAGGATTTGGGCTCAGGGATGGTGAACGTGGTCCACAAAACATATAAGAAAATTTAAAACTTCACGTAAAACTTACTAGTGACTCGCGTGGTAGGTGTCGGTCAGGGGCGGCGGAACAGGGGGTCTCGGGGCTAAAGCCCCCCCCCCCCCCCCCCCCCCGCAGAGGTAAAAGTGGGGGGATTAGCACCCCCAGAAAATTTTGTTTTTTCTGGAAAAAGTTTGATAATTAAGGAAAAATTTTGCGTATTTTTTGAAAATTTAGGTATAAGGGGGAAAATTTGCAATATTTTGTTTAAAAATTGTGTATGTCCGGAAAAATTTTTTGTTATAGGTCCGCAAAAAATATTTTCATCCCTTTTCCTGTATTTAGCACCCCCCCAAAATGAAATCTGTTCCGCCGCCCCTGGTGTCGGTGTTGTTTGAGGTGCTGAAATACATAAACAAATATGAATATTATAATGCAATGTTTGTTTCATTATACTATGAAAACAACGAACGCTTCCTCTCACTCGAATTAACCTGTCATATTTCCTTTCAAAAGAACCAGGAATTCGACAATGTTGCTTACGTTGTAAAAGCTACATCTTGGGAATGGAGACGTCTGATTATTCTATGATAAACTATACTGAGATTCCCATTGTCGTTGTCGACGGAACATTTTTCGGAGACATCAATTAAAACATTTTCAGTTTAGAATTTGACACATTTTTTAAGGAGGTAGGTAATCTTCGAGTAAAGCCCTTCGAGTTAAGTCCTTTTCCAGTTAAGCGCCGATCACGCCCAAACCGCACCCATTTTCGTCAAGGGCTTTATTCGAAGAAAGAAACACAACTTGGAAAGTTCGAGTTAAGTCCCGTGAAAAAAGAGGGACTTAACTCGAAGTCACTAAAAACATTCGACGCTCGAGTTAAGCCCCGACATTTGAAGCATGTAAAAGAGCAATGATTTGAGTCTAACGCCTCGGCCTAAATAAGCTGCAGCTTAAATGCGTCACGAGCAACTCGTACAAACAGTCAAATTTACATTAAGTAATAGATTGTTTTGGACTAGCTTTTATACCCTTGACCTTATTAGGCATAAATCGACTTCCTACGCGAAATAAAGCCGCGAGTTATAATTGCTGGTATAAATGGCTCGGCTATTATGACCATTATAACCAATAGTTGGCCATGAAGAGCGACGCAAATACGTAAATCGAAAGCCAAATGGTATTAATTGTTCATATCCCAAGTCGATTTTATCAAATATTTGGCCAGTAGGTTTACATGTTGGTTCTAGCAATTCGGTTTGACAGCATATGGATTTATTGGTATATCACTGACTTTATAGACAATTCCACGCTGTTTTACGTTTAGTGCCACACAACTTTTTTACATTGTCATTGCTGTTGGATTTGGTTGCATGTTTATTTACCCTCATCCTTTTGACTGAATAAAGTTTATCGTTTTGAAAAGCTATTTGTTTTATAGCTCTTGGTTACCGGTTTACGTTTATGTCGATTTTGGCACCCATGAGACCAACAAGTTGTGGTAATCCGCGAATGAAAACGGATATTCGAAGAGCACAAAAGCCAACTCCTAGCTATGTAACTTTATCGCCTGAATTTTGAATCAATCCAAAATTAAAATGCTTATAATGTAGATGCTTTCCATACTTGAGATGTTAGTGAAGTTTTTCCTACGATTTAATTTACTTGATCGCCGTCTTAAAAATGCAAAATCATCAGTTGAAATTTCACTCGTGTTGTTTTTTCAAATTTTCGAATTTTTGGAAAATATCGCGTGCGCCAGCAATTTCTCTGCACAGCGACAGCAAATTTCCCAGCTGTTAGCTGCTCGTAAAAGCTACATATTGGGAATGGCGACGTCTGATTATTCTGACGGAGACATCAGTTAAGGAATCTGCCACATTTTTACGTAGGATTGGCCTATTGAGAATGTCTTGAAGTAAAAATTTCTCGCAACAAATGTTAATCAAGCACATTTTTACAATTTATCGCTTCAGACACATATTTTCATTTCCTTATAGCACATGCAAATTGATTATCGCTGCAAACTAAGATTCGGTATGGTTCATCCATTGCAAGGAGCCGTCCGAAGTAGCGTCATGTAATGTAATTTACCCGAGTACTAAACCCATTATTATTAGTATCATTATATCCCAGACCATTACGAAGTCATTTATAACAGAGCAAGTTTTAATCAATGAACGAACGAATGCACCGAAGCACTGTAAATGTGCCTTAAGGACTCTAAGACTTGTGCTGGTGAGGGTTTGGGCTCAGGGACGGTAAACGTGTTCTTCTCCACCAAATAAATAAGGAAGTTCACGTAAAACTTACTAGTGACTTGTGCAGTAGGTGTCGGTGTTGTTCGAGGTGCTGAAATATATAAATATATACATATGAATAATATAATGCTTTTTTTTTTCATTATATTATGAAAACAGCGGATGTTTCCTGTCATGCAAAATAACGTGCCATATTTTCCTGCAAAACATTCAGAAATTCGACAATGTTGCCTCATTGCTGCCGCAGCGAGCGAGCCTGAAGCGAGCGAGCAAGGCAGCAGATCCTAATTTTGTTTTGTGGGTCGAAATCAAAATTTTCTATTTGGCGCATTGCATGACGGTACCAGTGAATTTTAACCGTGGTGCAGCGCGGTCAAGCATAAGGCAAACAGGCAATGTGATCATCTTTCATCTTTGGTCTTCTTTTATGGAAAGCCATAACTGGCTTAAAGTGATCAAACGGCATTTTGTTGGGTGCTTGTAGCATTATACGGCGGTGCTTTCGGCATTATACACGGTGGTTCCAGTATTATACGTGTTGCTTTCACCATTTATATACGCGGTGCTTTTGCAATTATACGCAGTGGTTCGAGCACTAATAATATGCGGTGCTTGTAATATTATACGCGATGCTAGCTTTCATTCAACATTATTTCCATATTCTTTCCATGACATGTATATGATTTAACGATTGCTTAAATTTGGTATGTGGTTGACAAATGCTTTTTGCCTATGGTCTGCAAGGACAATGACATGCTTTTCTGTGTATATAAATGAATATAACGCAGCGAATGCGCCAAACAGTATAAACGCGGCTGAAATACGATATTAAAATCTTAAATGTGCCGTATGCTTTAATTATGTTTTAGAATTTACAAATGCTTTGTCATTTGTATTTGTACTTGTACTGCATCACAAGGCAGTACGTAAGTGAAAAAATTCCACATGTGAGATTGTCTTGTATACATTTTTGCTTTCTTTGATAAACATTATTAAACACGCAAATTTTAATTAGTGAGACACAATGTTAAATAAAACGCGGATACGGACGGACGGATGAATAACTGACGGAAGGATGGCGACGGACGGACCGGACGGATGACATATATATGTCATTATATAGTCTGCGCGCAGCCGCGCAGGGTAGTTAGTGGCTTACGTCTTCGCTGGTTGTTATACTTTAAAATAATTTTGTATATACCGATAAATCAATATTCCGAGTATATAAATATATAAACTGGGATGTCACACTGATAGCTTGTTTACATTTCCTGGAGCATCATGAAATCTTATGTTTAACCACGGTGGTTTATCCCATTAGCTGGCAATGCGCCCTTCCCTTGTCCAACGCCAGAAGATTTTACTCGTCAGTGGTATAGGGTACTGCCAGTAAATGGGTTAACAAACCTGTCTGCCAATGGCTCTTGTTAATTCGTCAACACAGTAATGGTCCCTACTTTAGTATTTACCCTGTCCAACGCCAGACGATTTTTAATACTCAGTCAGTGGTAGGGTACTGTCAATAAATGGGTTAACAAGGATAACAATAATAGGATGTTTCTGAAGGACTCGTTCAACAGCCTGTAGTTTGTCTTTTGCTGTCAAAGGCAGCATTACTGCCCTGTGGGTAACCTAGTTCGTAAAATCTATATCTTGAGAATGGTAACATCTGATTGTTCTACGATAAACTATGCAGAGCTTGGCTAATAATTGTTTCCTACTTTGATAGCAACAAGCGCAAGAATATAGTCCCGTACATTTCTGAATGCATTTGCATAAAAATATGACATTTTTCTTCGGGCGAAAGGAAGCACCAGCCGTTTTGCTACGGTGGTACTTTTAAGTAATTTAGTTGAACAAAATCAAACCAAAGATATGGCTCAGCAAGCTCATCAGTCAGTTCTGATTGATAATATCAGCTGCTGGCGATAATGAGAACCAACATTATGTTTAGGATATCTTAGTACACAAACATTATGTATTATACATATAGACCAACATACCATTTCCACAGAGTGATTTCGAAGTACCATAGCGTGCCCACAGGCAGCTGTTGGTCACACTGGGTTTTATTAAAATACCACCAATATCTGGGTTGCCAGTGTATATGTATGGTATAAGGTACAAATTCTTGTTCTTCAGTTTTAAAAAACCACCATTACAGACCCAACCTTGATCGCTCGTAGTAGAATTGCAAGGTTGCAGTGATGCTCCGTATATTTTACGTCGATACCCGTGGTCTATGTTAACACGGGTCACGGCAAGACATTGTTGATTTAAATCTGACTGAAGACGTCCATCTGATGTCCAGCGCCAGCTCTGCTGTTTGGAGAGGTAGCAGCCGCTCAATGATAGCGCTACACTAGTTGCGACTACATAATGGTAAGAGTACACGTATCCTTTTCCATTGAATGTTCTTCTGTAAACCCCACGTCGTCTTACATAACTTGCTGTCAGGCATTTATTATAGCCTGAACTTTGAATTTGGAACAAATTTGATGATGTTGTACTTGTACCTCAAAATTAACAGAGCAATTCTAAATTAACAATCTCATTTGACATTTAATCCTAGTATTAACCATGGCATCATCCTTACTCTTGTGACCTTTCGCTAACTCTACGTCTATTCCTTTTCTAGCCCCAACGTTCAATCCTAACTCAAATACAGTAGTTCATATCGTGCATTTGGGGATCGTTAGGGACAGCTATTTTTAATTATTGTTGTTGTTGTTGTTGTTGTTGTTGTTTTGGGGGCTTTCGTTCTGCGCAGGATATTCTCAAGGAACATTTTTAACTACTGTAGTACTGCAGCCTGCTCTTCGGGCAACTCTTTGGGCCAGGCATGATGCTATGCCATATGTGCAAGTATAGAAACAGGCAAAAATATTTTTTTTCAATTGCAGGAGTATAGCTTGCGACAAACGTTTCATAGGTATTTGAATTGAAACTCGTATGTAATACGTCAATCTCACTCGGCAACGGCCAATGAAAGAAGAAGTATGGAAACAAATTCGAGCACAAGAGGGCTAATTTGTAAAGATCGCAAAATCGCGCTAAAATTGCAGCAAAAAATGCATGCATGTGTAAATTAAAACTCTCTAATACTCGTACTGTGAGGGTAATTCGTGCACAGAGATGCAAAACGTAGTCTTTTCAAATAAAGAAAATTGAAAGATTAATATAAAACTTACCGGTGACTTGTGCAGGAGGTCTCGTTGTTGTTTGAGGTGCTGAAATACAAGAATAAAATATGAAAATAATAAGTATTTTACTCAGGGCCGCCCAGAAGTGGTGGGGGGGGGGGGATGGGGTAATTTGCCCCGGGGCCACAGTTAAATGGGGACCAATGCAAAATTTGCAAAAAGGGGGGCCCCAAAAGGTGTAATTAAAAAAAATCACTTGTATAAGTAATGATATGAGAAAATCTTCTAGACCCTAATTTTACTGCTAATAGAACACGGTAGAGACCCTAATAGAACACAGTAGAATAGAATTATCGTTTCATCTTTTACTGTAGAGAAAGTTTAATTCCGATTTACAATCTTGAACGGACTTTGGCACACCACTAAGAAAAAATTATTGTCCACTGATCTGACTGAGTGACTGTATTTAAGATAAGGGAAAGTTCATTATTTATACGCGGTAGAATGGGATATGGGAGATTCTTATATCATATGGAAAATATCCAATTATGATGCTCTTAATAAACTTAATAATAAATACGTGCTGACAGTGTGAAATCGATCCATACGGACTAGCTAAGTTTGACTTGTATACATTTCACATTTTCATGGGTTTTTTTCACCTCCTATGAAGACTCCACCTACTGCAATGTGCAATGCAACCAAACGATAATCCATTTGATGTTAACGGACACAATATATTAAGCTTTTTGCGCTTTCTGAGGTGATCAATCTTCGTCATTTTAATTTTGATTTTTGCACCGTATCATGCAGGCAATAACCCATAGCCATATGCCAAGCGTGAAGCATCATCAAACGTACGTGGCGGTCTTACTCACAATTGTAATACCGCACGGGTATGATTTGCAGCGTTTTACTCTGTGTTTACTATTATATATAAGAGTTTTCGACAAAAAAAGACACAAATTCGACATAAAGCGTGTACGAAAACGATATTTTGTCACTGATATGTAATAAATATGTATTATTATATAGCCTAAAACATAAGTGTTATATAGAGTTTTTGGCCACTGAGAAAAATCGTATTAAAAATATACGATATTTTTACGTGTGAAAATATCATTTGTTGTAAAACGCATTGCCACGGACGTTTTATTGTTTTCACTGAATTTTGTATATTATATAATAAACAGAAAAATACATGGGTGCTTGGAAATACCAGATTTATTTCTCGTGTTCAACATGATATCTCACTCGTTCGCTGCACTCACTCGTGAGATATCATGTTCAACACTCGAAATAAATCTGGTATTTCCGCGCACCCATGTATTATTCTCTATATAATATGCGGCGTATCAATACAAACGTACATTTCATATAGAAACCTGTTCCGACAGAGCAGTAAAGTGATATACTTGTTTTCATCCGACGATGCGCACTGTATAATATTATATGGTACATTTCGAACACAGATGACTTGATAATTTAATAATAAAACTATCCCCAATTTTGGCATGCTAATCTCCATCATCATACCGATCGTACATATATTGACCACTGACTCAGTACAGACAATAGCAACCGAAGTGTTCTTTATAATCGCATTATTTTATGGCATAGTACAAAACATGGACTGGACCCATGGACTGGACCCAAAATTGGACTCAAAATTGGACTCAAAATTTGACCCAAAATTGGACCCAAAATTTGGCCCAAAAATCCATTATTTTTTTCGGAGAGAAAGAACCCTCAGAATATCGCGCTTTGATTTAATTTGTATAGGCAAAAAACTTCACGTTCCATCACTTTTCCTTGACTTATCTATAGCTATTTGTCTTCCAAAATTCTATATTCTATTTTCTAAACGCTATCTAGGGCAGTGGCGTGATGGCAGGGGGGGGGGCGGGGGGCCACGGCCTCCCCCGCTGGCAATTTTTGGGGGGCGCAAAAATGAAAAGGGGGCGCCGATCCTGCGCCGAATTTTGAAAGTGGGTGGGAAAAAACGCATTTGAAAAAATATAGTTACTTCCACCAAGAAAAAATGTGTTTATAGGCTTATAAACAGACTGAGCGCATAGGCGACAAAGTGATATATTAAATTACAGACTATTTTGTCTAACCAGCCAGTATTGCTACCTCACACGAAATCGTTCATATAGAAACATGATCAGTGATCACACGCAATGTGGCATTACCGGAATATTGGCCAGGTTTCGAAGCGATCACGGGAATTATGCCCTTTTTTTGCTTGTATTATGCCCTTATATTATGCCTTTATATTGCTTCACGAATCACGAGAGCGGCGCAAATTAGATAGTTATGATAATGTAAAGTTGTGTACGCAATTTAGTTGTTTGAACAAGAAACATCATAACTCATCGAGTAATGTGAGTAGTAAGATAATGCTGAAACGCGCGCCCTTTTGGCAGCCAGGCAAGGAAACCTTAAACGGCATGGTGTACCACTGACATCGACTCCCACCGATGTGCAGATGAACTGCTCAACTTTGCAGAATCTTTTCAAAAATCGAAGTGTTCAGTGATTTTTGATGAAGACCGAAAGAAGAAGAGAAAGATTCTGATTTAGACTCGTTCTGATCGGTTCTGAATCTGAAACCGAAGACTACGAAGAAGAAACCGGCAGCGAGTCAAGCGACGACGGAACTGCTGAATAACCAAAGGACAAGGGTAAACAATCATTTCTAGAAGCTCTGAGAATTTTGTCGAATCCTGATTACCACCTAGTTGATGCATTTCCAACTCTTTGTAAAGTTTACGCGATCGCAGTTGCAATTCCAATCAAACCCGCACACGTTCGTCTTTGTCTCAAGAAAAACTTGAAGCATTGCTACTTATGACCGGCACTGAACGGAAGATTTTAATGTCTTTGAAAAAGGAGCAGATTATTACCGCCTTGGAGGTCTGACATCAGAATTGTCGAAGGCGCTTATATGAAAATGTTTAGAAATGCTATAGAAATCGACAATGGTTATTGAAACATTAAAGACATTGGAGAACATCGATTGATCGACATGGGCAATACTTGACGTTATCAACATTCGATACAACACGTGAAAAATAGTACTAACTATCAAGTGATATACTGTATAGTATTTTAAAACTCTTTTTGTATGTTTTGACAAAAAAACATGACAGATTCGTATGAATAAAGTGCAAGCACACCGTTTTAGTAAAACATTACAAGTTATTAGTGAGATCGGCGTTTATTATAAATCAAAATATTTTATACAAATATACTCAACGAGTGACTTTATTCCTCCACAATTAATCTAAAATAAAGATTTATAGTAAAACTGATACCGTACCAATTTAAGTTCCTCTACGGAAATTCTAACCAAATTGCAAATTTCGACTCGTTATAATCTCGTTTCCTGACCATCAGATTTCTGTTAAATCTTCCCCCCAAAGTCCAGGAAATGGCATTTCAGAAACTCTAAATTTAAAAATTTTCCGGGGGCATGCCCCCGGACCCCCCGAGGAACACATCGCACCTGCGGCGCTCGGCTCGTGCCTTCGGCCCTCGTTTATCAAGCGTCACATTATAGGGGCGCATATTGGTTGATAGCCCACTGCCCCCCAGAAGAATTGTACCCAGCACGCCATTGAATTCTAGGGTATCTCGTAAATAATAAACCTTTGTGAAATATCTTTGCTCAATGGTCACAAAAATACATCACGTCGATATAAATCATTCTATCAATATATACATCAATATATAGTCATTCTAATTATATACATTTTGTGTCTGTATATAATATACACCCTCTATATATTCCGTCATATATATCCTCTAACGAGTAACGAGTTCGCAAAGTTTGTTTTGTCCAATTCTAATATTTATCGCAACTAGCTATATGTGGGCTTATCATTATGTATACAGGGTGTATCAAAATAAACGCAATTCATCTTTTGTGCTTAAAAACTTTCGAAATACTATTTCTAGTTAAACGCTTTTAGGCTTACTTCAAAGCCTGTTCTTTTCTCTTTCAAACAAACTATTATCCTTGTCTCCAATGCTAGTAATAATTGCACAGGAAAAGATTTAGTAAAACCTACCATTTTTAGTTGCTGTTTAATTATGCAAGTTTACTATGTTATTGTTTAGTCGGTTTAAATGTTAGAATTTTCTTCTTTAAACTTTAATGTTGTCGTCACTATACATCTGGAAAACCACGTAAGAACAAATTAAAAATATTTTAAAAGAGACCAGGTTGTTTGAAAATCCCAAACGAATACTAAAAATCGTCAAAACATTCTGGTGTCTGAGCCAGAGTGTCATCGAATTGCGATGTAATGTAAACAGAAATTATAGCAAGTTGATGTCAGTCAGCTTAGATGGTCCAAGCCAAAATTATATCGCATTTGACGTTTCAAACTGAGTTAAAAATAGTGGAAGAAAAACCGTAATTATACTTACTGTTACAATCCATTTAATAAAATGCAACATTTTTTTGTTTTAATGAAAAAATCAGTTATTTTCATGAGAACGATTTGTTATTCCATCTCAATTTTTTTAATCTCCAATCGCAATAACGTAAAGTATTATTACTCGCGAATCAATGAGTCAAATTTAAGAAACAACCCACTGTTAGAAAGCTGAATGGCTACGCTTTAAAATGAATGTAAACTTTAACGTTTTCGTCTATTATTTGTTTAGCAATTTACATTTCAGTCGAGGATTGCGTTTTTTTATACACCCTGTATATTGTATTTCAGAACCATCCTCAGAGATACGAAAAAATAGTTTCATATTAATCTGACACTGCAATCGAGCAACGAAAAATTCGTTTGCTCGAGCAGGATTTGAAATCGCATCTTCGGGTATCTAGACCGCCGCTCTACCTATTGAGCTATCGAGTCAACAGGGATTGGTAGCGAGTCTTATCCAATTTAAGTGCACGAAATATTTTCGTGACGCATAACGCTTATCTTAACGCGCAGTGTTTCAATTCTGTTTCAGAACCATCCTCAGCGATACGCGTGAGACGTCTATATTTGACAAACAGAAATACCATATGTGCCGCATAATGATAAGCCCACAAAGAGCTAATTGCAATAAATATTAGAATATAATGGACAAAACAAACTTTGCGAACTCGTTACTTGTTACTCGTTAGAGGATATATATTCCGATATATAGAGGGCGTATTATATACAGACACAAAATGTATAAAATAACTATATATTGATGTATATATTGATCGGGAATGATTTATATCGATGTGATGTATTTGTGACCATTGCGCAAAGATATTTCATAAAGGTTTATTATTTACGAGATACCCTAGAAAACGTTTAGAAAATAGAATATAGAATTTTGGAAGACAAATAGCTAGATAGGTCAAGGAAAAGTGATGGAACGTGAAGTTTTCTGCCTATACAAATTAAATAAAAGCACGATATTCTGAGGGTTGTTTCTCTCCGATAAAATAATGAATTTTTGGGCAAAATTTTGGCTAAAATTTTGAGTCCAATTTTGGGTCCAATTTTGAGTCCAATTTTGAGTCCAATTTTGGGTCCAGTCCATGTTTTGTACTATGCCTTATTTTATTGTAATGTTGCCTACGTCCTTGCAAGGTTCTGTGGCATAAGTTTGTTCCAGCATGTGTCCCATCCGTTTGCGCTTCACAAAATTTAAACTGCTAGATTAGAGCAGCAAATCGGAACTGCTCTATTTAAAATTTATGCGTCATTGTATTAGTAAGGCTTATCCTTATGCATGCATATGCAAATTGCCGATCAACAATCAAAACGATAAAGGGATTTCATAAAGCTAACCTACATGTAAATAAGGGAAAGATGAATGATGAAGAATGATAAAGATGCCAGTTTTCAAATCCGTACTCTATACCTATTTAACTGTATGCCTATTTAACTGCCCCCATCATTTGCCGCGTGAATTGTTGCTGGAATTCATCTTGCTATCGAAATTGGACGTAACAAATTGTTAGGGAACTTGTGGTTATCTATATATTTTGTTCTAGGATTGACCAATTTATATATAAACATTTCCTGAATGAATTACACTGGATGTATAGTATAACAACATTTCCTGGATGAATTACACTCTGGATGTAAAAGTATAGAAAGCAATTTAATTCAATACAATTCAGTTCAATCAACCTGTTGTTTTTTTTTGGTTTTTTTTCGAATTCAGTATACTTTATTCATTTCTCATAACACATTTACATCAAATTAATTGATACTGGAAGGACCAGATAAACCCTTGTGGGCTTTTACAAGTCAGTCCTCCTACAATAAAATTAGCTAAAATACAGTTGATTTGGTATCATTGATAAGATTATATTCATATAGTAATTTTGATTTAATGATTTAACTAGCAATATATATATATTTACATAAATACTTCACTTATATATAGATATGTATGAATGCATGTGCAATCATGTATACACATTGCATGCACATCTATGACAATAGATAATCTTTCATATCTTTTTTAAACTTAATTTTTGTTCTCGCTTCTTTTATATCAGAGGAAACTACTTCCTTTAATCTTAATCGTGAATTTTCCATAATCAGTTCGGTATCTTTCCTTATGTATATAATGTGAGTTTCTCGTTCTGTAATTGTGTACGTTTTTGTTAAGAGTAAAGAAATTTTTAAAATAAAAACAAACAAACCACTCTACGTCTGCTGCGCAGGTTCCATCATCATATAATAGCTTCTTTCCCTCAGAGTTGCTATTACACTATATAGTCTATATATAATTAAAAACGCATACACACAAACATACCTCTGTTTATCTTCCGCCTGGTAGGATCACGACGGGCGCAAATAGAGGCGCACAAACAGGAAAGCAAAAGCAAAAACCTAACAACACGATTCGTCGCCATTTCGTGGTTGCGTGTTGTCCGCAGACGTGACTGAAAAATATCGATTTTGCGCAGTAATTTATATCAAACCACGCGCTGTTGAAATCAACATACTTTGCGTCAACAAGTGTAAACATGACGACAAAGAGTTATAATTAGCAGCGAGTCTTTCAACAACCGCCCTGAGAAATGACAAGCAACTTTTGAAGACAATACAAAATGTTTGACCTTTCATTAAAATTAGTCTAGGTCAATTTGTAAAGCACTTGCATCTAAAAGCTGTATAAGCTGGAATAAAAGGTCAAGCTCTTGACCTATTAAAATCATATCTTTCAAATCGACACCAAAAGTGTCAAGTAGAAAGTTTTGTTTCATCAGAACACTTGATTAAATGTGGTGTACCACAAGGTTCTATTTTGGGACCTTTGCTGTTCTTGCTGCACATCAACGACTTACCCGAGTGTCTTAAAAATACAAAACCTCGGCTATTCGCTGATGATACAAACCTCACAGCCTCTAGTCACTCCATAGCTGACATTGAGATTGCAGTAAATTCTGATCTAGAAAACCTTAGGAACTGGTTAATGGCCAATAAACTTAGCTTGAATGTGGCTAAAACAGAATTTATGTTGATTGGCTCTCCACAAATGATAAGAAATGCTTCAAATTCTCAACCAAATATTTTAATTGAAAACAAACAAATCCAGCAAGTTAATAAATCCAGAACTCTGGGAACAACAATTGATCAGCATTTGTCTTGGAAGCCTAATACAGAAAATATTTGCAAAAAAATAACATCAGGAATCTTAGCTCTACGTCGTGTCAAACCATTTATTGCTGAAAGAGATACACTTATCTCCATATACAATGCCATCGTACGTCCCTACTTCGATTATTGTTCTGAAGTTTGGGATGTATTTGGGGAAATACAATCTAAACGACTACAAAAGCTCCAAAACAGAGCTGCTCGAACTATTTCAAATATGAGCAATGATGTAGATCATTCTATTGCTTTATGTGCCTTAGGGTGGAAACCACTTCATATCATGAGAAAAAAGGCAAAAGCAACAATGATGTACAAAACTCTAAATGGGATAGGCCCCGAATCTCTCACAAACCTCTTTACTTATAAAAATGAGATAACAAATTATAGACTCAGAAGTATTTCAAGTGGCCTTTGTCTGCCACAACCACGCACCAATGGTATGAAAAATAGTTTCATGTATGATGGTGCTAAGCTATGGAACTCTATTCCAAATGAAATTAGGGAAAGCAAATCCCTGTCATGCTTTCAAAAAAATATTGCTGCTCACATTTTCTAAATAAATATACCAATAGTTCTACCATACGTAAATAACTATTATACTATTTCTATACTATTTGTCCTTTTTAATACTATTTCTACTATTTGTAAATAACTATTAATGTAACTGCGTTTCACTACTGTAATTTCTTTCCTATTACTGTAATTTTCTTCGTACACGCCCCCTGTGGAAATCAGCTTCGGTTGACAGGGTTAGCGTGGGTAAATAAAGTTTTTCTATCTTCTATCTATCTATCTACACTCCCACCTACGCGTTACGAGTGTCCCTATATGTCGTGTGTCGTGAGTTAAAAGTCGTGTGTCGTGGATAAAGTCGTGGGTAAAGTCGTGGGTAAAGTCGTGGGTCATAAAATGTGCTAAAAACGCATTTTTTCGTATTTTTATTTTTAATATTTTTTCGTACTTTTTCCTTCTATGCGCTAGATAAATACAGGAAAATTTAATGCAACAAATCTCCAGTACGATTAGTGCGCTAGCCGCTGTTATTTTGACAGAATATGATACCTCAACACTTTTCAGCCGTAATTCATAATGCGCGGATTGTAATCATATACATATCGTTCAATTTAGCTTCAAAAACTTATTTTGTTAAATGTAAAATGCGCAGCATGTTGCCTACATTGATATCAAAGTTGACTTTATTAGACTGAAATAAGCAAGATTTCCCGTTATATACATGATTTATACCGAGGCGACTTTGCATGTGCTCTGCCTCTGGCAATTATGACACCATTGCGCTCCGCGGGAACAAACACGAATAACATGTTTTTTATCAAATTTTTGAAGCTAAATTAAACGATATGTAGCCTATATGATTACAATGCGCGCTGAAAATTACGGCTGAAAAGTGTAGAGGTACTGTATCATATTCTGTCGAAATAACAGCGGCTAGCGCGCTCGTTGGCAATTAGCCCGACATCGCACAAATCATTTCGGTTTTCAATCGGGTCGATCCGAAATCCCAATTTCCCAAATCGTAGCAATTTATGGAATATTTCCGAACGCCACATACACATTAAATGTTTGTCTACCTTTAAGGGCCACAAACATATACTAGGTCTAGGAGATAAAATAGCAAAATTTGAGGCTCGAGCGCTAGCCACTAACTAGCGTAAAATTTATAGCTGAATATGTTTGTATCGGACATATGCTTTTTTTTTAATTAATATTTAATTTCAGGAAGCTTTCTCACAAAGTGATTTTCAGAAAGGTCCTGAACTAAATAAACTATTATACAAGAAAGACATGCATATACTACATAACTATGAAAAATATTTAAAAATTGTACGAGGGAAAGTTCAAAATACGAGGGAAAGTTCAAATGCAATCGACATAGTTATTCGTGACGTTCATGATAGTGACTATAACACTTCCAAAGCTAGCTGATAAACCTATATCCTATAACTTAAGACATTTTATCATTAAACAATACATTTATACTCTATAGGTTTATTAGACTATACGAAACGGAAACAAAATCAAACATTTACTTGTTATACTATAGGTAACAGCAAGATAAGAAATTATTTTATTATAACTGCAGATTTGTTGCGTTAAATTTTCCTGTATTTATCTAATGCATAAATGGAAAAAGTACGAAAAAAATATTAAAAACAAAAATAATATCTTGAAAAAATGCGTTTTTAGCACATTTTATGACCCACGACTTTACCCACGACACACGACTTTTAACCCACGACACACGACATATAGGGACACTCACGCGTTACGCACCGGAGTTAAACCGCGCCGGGAAATTAATATTGAAGCCATTATTGTGATTTTATATCATTGCCATAAAAAACATTTCACATTGGCACTGGTATTCACGCCACTGGCATTCAGCGCATTTGGAGGCAGCGTCGTTCGCAGGGCCTCACGGCCGCGCGCGACCTTCATTGACCCTGGGATAGACGGAACCAGAAGCGCAAGAAAACTTACAGTAGTTTCTAAAGCTCATACTCTTGAATTGGGACACTTCAGTCTTCAGCACTCGTAAAAATTTTCACAGAGAAGTACTACGAAGAAACGAAATATATTTGTTGACATATTTTGATAGAAAATTTTTTCAAGTGTCAAGCGAAATACCTGACCTCTGCGAAATTCCTGACCAAGCGTGACGGCTCATGTATTTCGCGCGTGTAGGCGGGAAATACATGACGCTTGCGAAATACCTGACTCGATGAAAACCTCAATCAAAACCATTGTATCGAATACCGAAGTAATAATGTATTGTATCGAATACCGAAGCTAGAATCAATTTGATATTTCTGATATTACTGAACAATCGGGAATATATGTTTTTATCGATTATACTTTATATAGACTATAGTCAATAAACAATCTGCGACTTCATGGGAAATGAATAATAAATAAATAGAATTAATATATTTTGCATATAGCCTATAGAATATATTTACAAAGAAAAAGTTGATTATTATACTAGTATAACGCGTGTTAGGCCTACCTATGTAGGTATCTTTGGATATCATGTTGGACTTTATTGTAAGGTATGACTCTTGTTTTAAGCTGCGTTTTTATAAGGAAAAGTTTAAATATTTTTAAATCAGTTTTGACTGTCCAGTAAATTATTTGAACTATACAAATGCACAATCGGAAGCGGAAAGCGGAAAATGCTCAACTTCTGGGAAATAGCAGTTCTCTGGGAAGTCAATCAGATCTCTCCCATTAGTCGTTTTATTCAGAGCCTAATTGTCAATGAGTGAACATAGCTGTAGGGACGAGATTGATTTGGAGGTTGCAGCACAAGCCACAAGGTCGGAGATGGTCAAGTGAAGGAAAAGTATATCATATTACATGCTTTCACTTCCGGATTTACACTTCGATCGCAAGGAGTGAGTGTTCAGAACAGTCAACTTTGAGAATCATATATACGTCAAAATACTTGCTAAGTTTGTATGCTAAATCGTATGCTTTTAAATAGTTCTTATGTTCTCTCAGGGCTTGGCCGCTTGGGCGCGCTTATTAAAGCCACTTTGATTCCACACGTTTCTGATCTGCTGCTATAATTCACATATTTATAATCTTATAATTTGTCACTAAATTGTTGTTATCTTGAAACGGAATATACTTTGCATTGATTTAGTTGTTAATTCCAACAGAGGTCTCGAGATTAGTCTCAATGTTTAGGTCGTAGCGCCTCTAAGGTCTTTGGCGGCAAACGTTACAAATATGGACAGTAGCCAAATACTAAAAAACTGTTTACAGACTGTTTATCTGCTACTGACTTTATTTAAAAAGTATTGATCGTTCATATTAAACAGTAGGTACTGTAGGAAGGAGTGTTAAGGTACAAAAATTGTTAGCGGATATTCTACTGCACAGAATTATAAGACAAGTCAACTGTATGATTTTCCTTTTTAGTCCGCATGACCGTGACCGTCCGTGTTGTTGAACATCTGAAGGCAAAATATTCCATAGTATTTTCTATATAGTCCTATAGCCATTTACACCGTCTTTTATACCTTTATACAGGGTGTATCAAAAAAAGCGCAATCCTCGACTGAAATGTAAATTGCTAAACAAATAATAGACGAAAACGTTAAAGTTTACATTCATTTTAAAGCGTAGCCATTCAGCTTTCTAACAGTGAGTTGTTTCTTAAATTTGACACAAAAATTGAGATGGAATAACAAATCGTTCTCATGAAAATAACTGATTTTTCATTAAAACAAAAAAATGTTGCATTTT